GCTGTAATAACTCTGCATTTAACCAGAAGAAAATAAATCTACGTAAAGCTGATTCCTGTTTCCTGAGTGTTACTTCTTGGGGCCTTCACATAAAAGAACCGGTTAGAGTTAAAAATACCCATAATATTATATTTTGGGGTTAACACCTCACTTTAGTCTTCCTATACACTTTCAAGAAATGTTTTTAAAACAATCATGTATGAGCAGCGGAGAATAAACATATTCATGTACAGTATATGGCTTAAAGCTATGGCTTAGCCTATGAAGACATTCTTTGTTTTTGTAAAACTATGCTACTTTATTTGATGCTATACCACATTGTATCTTTTTACCATGCAGGAGTGTTTTGCCAGTTTTGCATCCTAGATATTGAAGTCTTAGAAATTATCCACACAATTACATCTGACTGCGTGGGGGTAACAAATAAACTTTATTTGTATCCATTGATACATTTTAAATACAATGCTGTACTTCATGAAAATAAACCAGTATCAAAGGATAAACAATTTTGTCTACAGAGCTTTCAGAGTTGCTATTTGTTTAAATATATAAGGCTTTCCTTTAACATCAATCACTTTCCCTCTTTCTGGGACCACTGTGTATATCCTCCAGTATAATTACGTGCACTGAAACAAAGAAGAAAGGCACAGAATATAAGGGTTGTCATTATTACATATGAAATCTACAGTATGTTATAAAATAACAATGGACATGTTTCTACAAATGTATGGGCGATCTTTACTATAGGCATGACATGAATCTTAAAATACACTGCCTAGCCAAATTAAAAGTGATACTTGTACAATTGTATGCACTAATGCAATACTTCCACGTTAACGTCTGTGTTCATGAAGCTCAAAATGTCTCACTTTTTGGTGAAATTGTCATAAATGTATAAATTCAGTGGTATGTTTATTATTATGACATTGAAGTGTTGCATTGAAGTGCATACAATTGTACAGGTGTGACTTTTAATTTGACCAGGCAGTGTAGTTAGGGCTGCAGATGTAAGAGACCTGCATTGTCTGTGTGTGTGTGTGTATCATAAGCAGTAACTTATTTACTTAACATATCCTAGAGAATGGGCCTTGTTCGTGGCCATTTCGCTTCGTCTTCCAATTCGGCAGTAGAACACCAACTCTGGTGCATCTAGTGGTGGCTTGGTTACCCCATACTTGGCCAAGAATTCTTCTGGATTCATTTCAAGAGCAGTGCCTACTGTATCAACTGAAGAAAGAAAGGGAGGAAGAGAGGCACCATAGTACATGGATGCTGCACACTTTTGTATATTCATTATAAACAAAAACATGACTAAGAAAACCTTGATCTGAATGTGAACGATAAGTGGTAAAAATAAGGGGAAAAGGTATATTTAGTGTTCAGGATGAAACAGTGGAATATAATGTATGTATTTTAACCTTAAGATGTTTCCCTCCATGTAAATAAGTTTTAAAAAGAAGCTCACCTGGGATATGAACTGATCCTGGAATATGTCCTTCATCCACTTCCTCCTTAGTGCGGACATCAAACAGAAAGAGATTTTGGCTCTTTCCCACAAGGGCTTTCAGATCTTCATAGGAGATTTGCTTGGTAGCTGATAAAGAGAGAGGAGACACATTAAAGTCAAGTCGGCTAAGACTTTGTCGATTACTCCTATAAAATTGCACCATTCGGTTTATAGGCTTCAAATAATATAAAAGTCTGACACAAGATTTTATTACTAAGCATCCTTTAAAAAAATAAAGATTATGGTTCATGTGATGGGTTATGTGTAACTGCACACTGACATATTAAACTAAACTCTTTTCAGCAGGGGGTTGCATTGGCTTCTTTTCACTTCAAAAATCAATAAATACGTAATCAATAAAGCCCTTTTCCTTCAGATACAGGTATGAGGATCAGAGCAAATCACACTAAACTCATTTTATTTCACATCATCATTTATTCATGTTTTATCATGTTTGAAATGCTCAGACGATTACTGACATGGGTGATGACTGCTGAGGTGAAGGACACAAGATGCTGAACCTGATTTAAAAAAACCTAGGTACATCTTCACCTTCAGGGTATATTCTACTAGAGATTGCTCCCTCATGTTGGCATTCATGCTTTTCATATCAGTGTGTTGGTGTGTCTATAAAACAGGAAGAGCTGTACCCTTATCACCTGTGATATTGCAGATTACAGTATATGTAAACAACTTCTGCTTCATATAATTGTCAAATACTTGAAATGGTTTGCTGTCTGCTGCATGAGTAACACATTCGGGTGTGACACTGTCTACCTTTATCTGCTGAGTCATTCTGAATTAGACATATTTAAGACAGAAAACATCAGTGGCCATACTGTAAATATTTTTTTATATTCACCAGTTCAAAAGGTTACCTGTGCCGAGATAGTTGCACCAAATAAGATAGCATATGCATAAATGCTAAACTAATCTGACAATCAAATATTATAAATGCAACTTTAGAAACGATGTCAATAACTAATCTTTTAGCTGACTAGGCAGATAATCAACTTAAGTTCCTCAGACAACCTTAGAGATGTTTAATGTTAAGTGTGTCCGTCAACGTGAGTGGAGCGAAAAACCACTCACATGTGCTCGCCATCCTGGTTGTATCAATGTTGCTGGTATGAATACTTTGTTAAAACAACAAACCTTCCTCACGGTTATGGGTGACACGCATTCATTAATTCATTTTCTACCGCTCAGTCCCTGAACGGGGTCCCGGGGAGGGTGGGGGGGTGCTGGAGCCAATGCCAGCTGGCAATCGGGCGAAGGCGGGGTACACCCTGGACAGGTCGCCAATCCATCGCAGGGCTGACAAGCATTGATGGCAACAAATCATTGGCTACGGTGGGCGGGACGTAGCGCCAAAAACATCAGCAGGTAGCCAATCCGCTTGTTAGGAGGTAACATAACATTCTGTTTCTGAGTCCAAACTGAATCGCTTCGTTCTCCTCCTCTCTTCATGCCAGTGTTGTTTTCCCCATCGTTTCAATAAATCTATATCAAAAACCAGGGATCAGCTTTCATTTTATCACTTTCCTTGGAATGAAAATGAGAAAAATAAATGACCACAGTTGATTAGATAAGTCACAGTATTCTTAAATGAATGCAATAAACCATAAAAGTGCGCTGTTGGCTGCCTTGTTATGTAGCTAGCTATAATTGACACGAAGTTATCGTAAACACTATAAGTTACGTTGACACATTTTACGCTGATGGAAATAACAGCAAAGGGCGATGTAGACATACAACTCCATATAGGCTTTATACTGGAATAAGTGTACTACTACGTGTAATACAGTTAACGTTAGGTTATTATGCCACCTGGCAGAAGGGCAACAATTGCTATAGATAGATAGATAGATAGATAGATAGATAGATCACTATAGAAGGTGACAGGTTCCTTGGGTCTAGGGGACTTTGGACCCAACATCCTCCTTGGCATGTTTTTAATGATACTTTCAAAATAAAAGTTGAAAAGCTGTAGTTATTTTAGTATAAACACTTATGAAGGAATTATATAAATATATACATTAGCCTATATTCTGTATCATTGCAATTGATTTATTAACTTTTAAACAACATTTCAGTGGTGTACCTGGTTGAGTTGGAACTAGTTTAAACTAAGCTTCGTGACATAGTTTTATAGTTTTTATCAGGGAAAATGCATTAAAGCCACCATCCACTCATTAAAAAAACCTGCACATTGGTTATAATTTCTAAAAGTTTTTTTTTTCTGTGTAATACCCATAATATTATAATTTGGGGTTAACACCTCACTTTAGTCTTCCTATACACTTTCAAGAAATGTTTTAAAACAATCATGTATGAGCAGTTATATGGAGAATAAACATATTCATGTACAGTATATGGCTTAAAGCTATGGCTTAGCCTATGAAGACATTCTTTGTTTTTGTAAAACTATGCTACTTTATTTGATGCTATACCACATTGTATCTTTTTACCATGCAGGAGTGTTTTGCCAGTTTTGCATCTTAGATATTGAAGTCTTAGAAATTATCCACACAATTACATCTGACTGTGTGGGGGTAACAAATAAACTTTATTTGTATCCATTGATACATTTTAAATACAATGCTGTACTTCATGAAAATAAACCAGTATCAAAGGATAAACAATTTTGTCTACAGAGCTTTCAGAGTTGCTATTTGTTTAAATATATAAGGCTTTCCTTTAACATCAATCACTTTCCCTCTTTCTCGGACCACTGCTTATATGCTCCAGCATAATTACGTGCACTGAAACAAAGAAGAAAGGCACAGAATATAAGGGTTGTCATTATTACATATGAAACCTACAGTATGTTATAAATCTGCACATTTCATAATGACAGGAAAATAACAATGGACATGTTTCTACAAATGTATGGGCGATCTATAGGCATGACATGAATCTTAAAATACACTGCCTAGCCAAATTAAAAGTGATACTTGTACAACTGTATGCACTAATGCAATACTTCCACGTTAAGGTCTGTGTTCATGAAGCTCAAAATGTCTCACTTTTTGGTGAAATTGTCATAAATGTATAAATTCAGTGGTATGTTTATTATTATGACATTGAAGTGTTGCATTGAAGTGCATACAATTGTACAGGTGTGACTTTTAATTTGACCAGGCAGTGTAGTTAGGGCTGCAGATGTAGGAGATTTGGATTGTCTGTGTGTGTGTGTGTGTGTGTGTGTGTGTGTGTGTGCATCATAAACAGTAACTTATTTACTTAGTGTATCCTAGTACATATCCTAGAGAATGGGCCTTGTTCGTGGCCATTTCGCTTCGTCTTCCAATTCGGCAGTAGAACACCAACTCTGGTGCATCTAGTGGTGGCTTGGTTACCCCATACTTGGCCAAGAATTCTTCTGGATTCATTTCAAGAGCAGTGCCTACTGTATCAACTGAAGAAAGAAAGGGAGAAAGAGAGGCAGGTAGATCAGTATTTTAATATTAAGATTATATGAAACATTAGCAGCTAATGTGTAACATTTACAAAATGAAAAACTGAACAACAGTACATGGATGCTGCACACTTTTGTATATTCATTATAAACAAAAACATGACTAAGAAAACCTTGATCTGAGTGTGAATGACAAGTGGAAAAATAAGGGGAAAAGGTATATTTAGTGTTCAGGATGAAACAGTGGAATATAATGTATGTATTTTAACCTTAAAATGTTTCCCTCAAGCTCACCTGGGATATGAACTGATCCTGGAATACGTCCATTAGCCACTTCCTCCTTGGTGCGGACATCAACCAGAAAGAGATTTTGGCTCTTTCCCACAAGGGCTTTCAGATCTTCATAGGAGATTTGCTTGGTAGCTGATAAAGAGAGAGGAGACACATTAAAGTCAAGTCTGTTAAGACTTTGCCTGATACTCCAGTAAAATTGCACCATTCAGTTTTTAAAACTCAGGTTAGGCTTCAAATAATATAAAAGTCTGACACAAGATTTTATTACTAACCATCCTTAACAACAGAAAGAAAAAAGTCTACGGTTCATGTGATGGGTTACATGTAACTCTGCACACTGACAAACAAGCAAACAGCCTGGTAAGGATGTAACAACTAATAATATCATCAGCTCATTACCCATCAGTAACTGCTCCTCATGTTCCTATGCGACTTATCCACACTTCTCACACACACACACACACACACACACACACACACACACAGAAAGAGAGAGAGAGAGACAGAGAGAGCAAAGTAGAGGAGACAGGTTGAGTGAGAAAAACCAGAGATGAAAACTAAGTTGTTGTCCACGGACCCCCCAGATCCACTCTGCCTGACCAATTAACCTAGGGAAACACTGGCCAGGAGTTCACAAAGCAACATAAATACACTTTACTTGTGAGTGTTATAAAATGCATGAAGAAGCCAATTTGGTTTTGTGTGTGACAGCAATCCCAGCTTTATTTATATAAACGCAATCTCAATTAGTTATACATAGTGAGGTGTACAGATTTTGAATTACAGTTGTATGCTCAACAGCTGCCCCAACCTTTGCACATGCAACAATTAGGCTACAGTTTTTTTAATTTATTTTTTTAATTGATAAAAAAACATAATCCATTAACCTTTGAAGAGGTTTTTAAACTCTCTTTTCAGCAGGGGTTGCATTTGCTTCTTTTCACTTCAAAAATCCAAATATGTAATCATTAAAACCTTTTTCCTACAGATGCAGGTATGAGAATCAGAGCAAATCAGACTAAAATTATTTTATTTCATGTCATCATTTATTCACGTTTTATCATATTTGAAAATGATAGACTTGGTTGATGACTGTTGAGGTGAAGGACACAAGGTGCTGAACCTGATTTACATCTTCACCCTCAGGGCAAATTCCACTAGAAATTGCTCCCTGGTGTTGGCATTCATGCTTTTTTTATTCACACTTAAACAGTGTGTTGGTGTGTGTAAATTAGGAAGGAAGGTACCCTTATCCCCTTTGATATTGTAGATTACAGTATATGTGAACATGTTTTGCTTTATATAAGTTTTAAATACTTGAAATGGTTTGTTGTTTGTTGCGTGGGTAACACATTCTGGTGTGACACTGCCTGCTGAGTCATTCTGAATCAACAATTCAGTTATGTATTTGTATAGTAACAATTCACAACAAATGTCATCTCAGTACACTTTACAAAGTATAGTCTTGACCTTACTATTATTATTATTATAATAGAGGAAAAACCCAACAAGTCCCCCTTGAGCAAGCACTTGCCGACAGAAGACATCAGTGACCATAGTACCATAATGTAAAGGTTTTTAAAATATTCACCAGTTTAAAAGGTTCAGTGCGCCAAGATACTTGCACCAATTAAGATAACTACATAATTGTTAACCTAATCTGACAATCAAATATTATTAATGCAACTTCAGCTACGATGTCATTAACAAAACAACTTTTAGCTGAACGCATAATCAGCTTAAGTTTCTCAAACAACCTTAGGGATGTTTATAAAGATAAAGTCTGTCTGTCAACGTGAGCGAAGCGAAAAACCACTCACCTGTTTTCGCCATCCTGGTTGTGTGAATGCTGCTCGTATGAATATCTTATTAAAATAATAGACCTTCCTCACGCTTATGACTGACAAGCATTGATGGCAACAAATCATTGGCCACGGTGGGCGGGGCGTTGCGCCGCAGGTAGCCAATCCGCTTGTTAGGTGGTAGCGTCATATTCTGTTTCCTCGTTCTCCTCCTCTCTATATACGAAAGTGTTGTTTGCCCATTGTTTCAATAGATCTACATCAAAAACCACGGGTCAGGTTTCATTTTACCACTTTCCTTGCGATGAAAAGGAGAAAAAGAAATGGCCACAGTTGATTAGATAAGTCACAGTATTCTTAAATTAATTAAATAAAATGTATTTAAAAATGCGCTATAAATTGTCACATCTTACACTGATGAAAGTAACAGTTTGCTTTGGCTTAGTCTCCAGGTCGCAAATCAACTGAACAGCTTTGGACAGTTGTTGTATTTTATCAAATGCGTGCCTATTCAAAACCTTTCAGATGAAAGCAAAAATTCAACAAAGACAGATTTTTTTATTAAAACTATTTTAGTTTATTAAAATTTTCAGTCAGTATCTGTATTCTAAAAATATATTTAAATTTTAATTCAGCACACAAATGAATAAAAAAATCATTACAATAAACCTACAGGTTAATTTGCCAGCAAAAAAACCTGTAGTTCTAACCCAAAAGTATTTCCACAAACATTGCTGCTGTTACTCCGTCATGTGCCTTGAAACTGGAGTGTAAACAACTTTGTTGATTCAATAACAAACCCAGTGCAGAACTGTTTGACTATTGGTCATGATCATACTGCTGCTATAGACTGTGTATACTGTATAGTTTGTGCTGCTCTGGATCACAGAGCTCCCTCCGTGCTGTAAGAGGGGTTCCCTAGTCCATCAGTGGAGTCTCTCTTTCCCCTTTGACACATTTTGAGCTTCCAGAAAATCACACTTATGACAAGGAGAAGGAGGGCGACTCCTCCAAGTATGACCCAGATCAATAGCTTGTGGTCAGAAGATTCAGGAGGGTCATACCGTTTACAGGAGAACTCTGAGGGGGAGCTGTGCCCTGCATCGTTCAGCGCCTCTACACACACTTTGGTCCCAGCTTCCAAAGATCCAACCAAACCTCGTCGCAAAGCACTTCCGTATTCCTGGGCATCACCGCCACTTCCTTCAACTGCCACTCTGTACAAAGACACCACAGAAGACGGTGCACACCACTGCACTTCTACCTTCCCTCTGTCATCCCCTTCAGTGACTGGCAGCAGTGCTTGAATGCGTGGTGCGTGAGGAGGCTCATCAGCCTCACTGAACCCAGGACAGAGGCACCCAGTCTGTGCTGAAAGATGGGCACACGGCTCCTGATTTTCCAGGCAGGGGTTGTACTTGCAAAGCTCCTGGTGCACAAGGGGAGTCTTCACAGAGGACAGCACCTCAGGAGGAAAGCTGGTGTAGTCATCCTCATAGTCATGGTCTGAGCCCAAGCCAGTGATAAATATGATCCGTGGACGAGTGACAGGAGAAGAGGTGGAGGTAGCGTGAGTGAAAAAGTGGGGGTGGAGGAGAGACAAGACACTCAGAAAAAGGCGAAGCACTGTCAGATTCCTGCACAGTGACATCATGTCTATGGACAGAAATGACAAAAGATGAGAATGACCTTCAAAAATATTAAACCACACTATTGTAATTATGTTCATCCATTAAGCCTAAAGTAAGACTTGTATCTTTATTCATTGTTTCTCAATTGATCTTTCAGCCTATATACAATTTCAGTGCACAATAAGGAATTTAAACAGTAAATAAGGTGGAATAAGGAAACTGAAACCAAGAAGCTTAAGTTATTCTTTTGACAATAAAAGACAAAGTAAGCATGGCAACAAGAATCCACAGTGGTACCATAATCGAGAAGGACAGTGAGTTTTTAAGATTTAGTTTTTCATTTTTGTTGTTTGGATATTCAAAAAAAGAGAAAAACAAGTTAAGTTTATGGCTTGGAAGTAGCTTTGTACATAATCAAAGATTTGCGGTGTTCTGGTGTCGAGCCTGTAAACAACTTTGGATAAATAAATGCTGAGTTTTGGAAGAAAAAAATAAAGTACATCTATTGGAAAGACACCATCAGCACTTCCATTTTCCCCTGGCAGCAAGCCAGTAGAGTTCTGTGGGAACCCAGAGCTGAATCAAAAAACAAATGGATTTCAGTTTACATTCTTGTTAATTTTAGAGTAAGTGGAAAAATCTTTTCTCATAGCCTTATGACTAAATCAATAAACTTATCTATTCTAGTGGTCTGCATCTGGCCAACACTCATCACCACAGTGATAAAATGAATTAAAATGTATGTAAAGTCTTTACTGTACCTGGTTGATGCTGATGGATATTCCAGGTCTGTACTCACTCTCTTGTTGCCACTCTGTTGGCTCTCACCGTGTGCTCGCTGCCGTCTTCTCACTGTCCCAAGTTGTTTCCCTCAGATTTTCTCCTCCTCCTTCTCAGCACCCCCTCATTTTCTCCCCTTGGTGCCCCTCCCTGCTCCTTTTACTCCTCCCTACAGACTTTTTTTTCACATCTAGCCTATTTCTCTTTCGCAGCAGGGCTTCCAATTAGTCTTTGTTGCCTTGTACATTTCTTTCTATGGGATTTTTGTGAGAGTGTGGGTCTCAAAAGGATGTAACTGTGTGCTGTTCAGCATATTAATTTTCTAAGGAGCAGCAGGAGGCAGGCTTGCACTTGTTGCAGCATGTGTAATTTGTAGGTGCAGCTGTCTGTTTGTGATTCCTTTTTTAGGAGCTAAACTTCCTGCATACTCTGCAGGTGTTCTTGTGGAATGACCAGAACATAAGGTCATGTCAGTGTTTGTTTATGTGTGCCTTTGAGAGTAGGGGATGAGGAATGCACATGTGTATTTTTTATTATAGACCCCCCCCCCCCAACCCCC